GTTTCATTTGTAAAGCTCAATCTTGCAAAAATAACATGGATTGTTTGTTGCACAGATTGAAACTGGTCATTGAGTTTGTGATTCATACAGAAAGTCGTGACATTTGGAGGGCTTGTTGCCTGCTCCCGGAGTAAATAGGTGGAACTGGGCTTGTCCTTTGTACAATGGTGATCGGTATGTTAAGCACATTCCAGATAGATGGAATGCAGGGAAAGGAAAATGCCACTACCTAACTAAAACAATTCTTCCAGTTAAACCAGTTTATCATGCTTGTTCTCGTGTTAATCACTTTTTCAACACAAGTACATCTACACAACCTGCTGTTATTTTTAGCCAGAATGACTGTGTCTGTGTTGCTCCTATGCCTTGTTTAACAGTCAGCTACCTCAAAAAGCAAGGGGTTTCAGGAAAGGCAGACGGGGTAAGCTGGGTGTGGGCCTGTAAATGGATGGAGCGGGTAAAGGAAGTCGGGAAGGGAGAACGTGAAGAAAGGAGCCGAAACCTGCAGAGGTAGGAAGATCACTATCTTTCAGCTACTAGCCTTTGATTTGAGTTCTTCAGTACACTGATTGTGTGGTGCTAAAGGAAGGATATGTCAGTGTAGTAATGGCTTTACAGCAAGTTTTAAAGCATAAGTCTTCTGTGGGGGTCATGTCTTAGAACTTACCATTACACACAAGGCAAAAGATCTGAAGTAATTATAAATGAGTATACTGCTATTTCAAGCGTTAGCCTCTTTGACACAACTGGAAATACAGCTGGTCTGTTATTGTGAATTTGGAGGATTTCGAGGATACCATTATTTGTAATGTTCCATCACTATTTGTGCTGTTTTAAAAACAGGACTTTGTAAATTCCAGTCATTATGCGGCAAGCGATGATCAAACTTTAATGTTTATTAAAGGGAATTTTTGTCTGCGTAAAATTTGTGCTGGCCTGACAGAACTTTCCCTTGTCCTTCCCATTTAGCAACCATTTAATTGTGTTTTTAAATATTAGGTAACCTTGATCTCACACTGTCTTGGTTTTGTTTGCTTTACCTACAGTTCAGCTCAAACACAAGCTGATGCTCAGTCCCAGCACACACCGTGGTCCCAGATTGTGGGCACGTTGGGAGCCTGGTATGGCTTTACTCCAGTTTTTGTAGTTTGGTCAGTCTGCCAAGTGGAGGCACTGCCGCACCCTTCTGTACTGAGAGTGGATGTGTGCTGGAGGCTACTTTTTGTGTGCCTTCTGTTGATTTCTCTGGGAGGTTGCATCCATGCCCTGAAGTGCTGCCTGCAGCCAGGACAGAGCCAGGTGAGCACAGCTTCGTGGAGTGAATCTGCTTTGAGCTTGTTTGTGTTTTTATTTTTGTGATATTTATTCACTGACTTTTTCTCAATTCCAGGGAAAGCCTCCAGGGACTGAACAGGAGATTGTGACTGAAATCAGGAATGACCAGTGTTTACGGTGAGGCTTTATTATTGTCACACTTATATCGTCTTCAGTTGGTATGAATGTTTTTTGTTTTTTTTTTGGCAACAGTTTTCTAATAAATTACCCCAAAATTGTGTCGCATATAGTGTAACATTTTTTGCTCTTTTCTTCAGGATGTGCCAGGCAAGAAACCCAGGTGTGAATATTAATCTGATTCTTGCCCTGGCTGACAGCCTGCTGCTGTGTGTGCTGCAGGAACCTCTGCCAGACCCCAATGTGCCCCACATTCAGGCTCTTCTCTCCAGACTGGAGGTAAAACAAAACCAACTTAAGGAAAAAAATGCACCCCACCCCACCCTAATGTCTCTCTCTC